ATATTTCTGCATTTATAACAGCGAATGTCTCTACTGGTGTGATTTTCATACTACTGTTCTCGTTGAGAGATAAATTACGTTGGTTGATTTCTGCCTGTTCGTAATTATTCGTACAATTAATCTTGCTCTCCCGAGCCCGTTTGACAGGTTAAAAAGAAGAATTAATTCAGACAATCGAACCAAGGGGCTGTACCAGCCATCGCACGATAATCAAAGATATCACAATCTCCGTACGAAGCTGGCCTGCTTCGCTTACCTCTGGATCTTAGATTTTCATTGTCCCCGTTACCTATGATTTTGGAAAAGGGTAGGGTGTTCGTTTAGTGATTGAAATTCTCGCAAATCGCGGTACGGCGGTTCGCGTGATCGTTGCTCGCCGGATCGAGGAAGAGGCAAAGGAGGACTGAAACTAGGAGAAAGTAGTAGCGAGGGAGATGGAAAGAATAAAAAGAAACGGTTAGTAAACGTGTGCCACCGTCATATCAAGCCTATATCATCGTGTTACATTATATACATATTATATAGCTAAGCAGAAAAAAAAATTAATATTATCGTTAATCGACACAATTGTTAAAGAAGAGTGACTGTGTTTCGTGTGAGTGTTACGCCGGTGAAGAACAATGAACAATGGGAGAAAATAATAAAACAAAACAAAACGAAAAAAAAGAAAGAAAACGAACATAAAATGAAAAGTCCTTCTTTCGATCGCTCGAGGATATTGAGAAGGCCAGAGGGCACGTTTTTCTTCGAATCTCACGAATCTTCTAGTACTACTGGCACTCTTTATTGTCCGAACACGTTCGACTCTCCACCACCGATCAGTAATTAAAACAATCGTTCCGACACTTATCATCTCGTACCCGTCTTAATTAGATAACTAAAACGAGGTTGTAACCGTAGGATGTACTAATCGCTTCGAGCAAATTGAAACACTTGTCTTGAATCTTAAGACTGTTTAACGGATAAATCGCCAAGCAAGATGCACGAGAAGATGCTTCGATGTTGCTTGACTCGTTCCATTTCAAATAGTCTATCCTCGAAACGTGTGTCGGATATTCAAACAAAAGGAACGGCGGGAATCCCTGGGGTCGATCGTAACGAATTAAACGAGCAGGGCAAAATGATCGGTAACAGGGCCGTTGCCGCGCAACCCCCACCGGAAATGCGATGGTTCGGTCCCGGGCTCGAGTGATCCTAAGCTGAGACTGTTCCATGGAACACACTGAGTGAGAATGCATAGCGAGGTGAGCGAGTTAAACCGTGAGAGCGCGTGAACGAGGCCGTCTCGATATTATTTTTCGACTCGACTGTTTAATATCTACGATGAAAAAACGTTTTTATGTGAAATATTGCGTAAGGAAAGCCGTGGCGGCGTCACGTCTGTCCACGTTGGAACCGCGGCCGTAACGAAACAGATTTTCAGAGAAACTTCAACAGATTCCATCGTTATTTAACAATCTTCCTATCGGTTAGCAAAATCAGCGAGAAAACTGACAATTCGAGAAGGGAATCGATCGAGCCGCGAGTCCTTCCGGAATCGACGCCGCGACGACGTGACTCCTCCTGCCCCCTTTTTTTATTCTCCAATTTCTACGTGTTTAATCGTTAAGTGAAACAGAGAATCTAAAAGAGAGAAAGCGAGAGAAAGAGTGTGAGAGAATGTTGACGAGAGAAAGAAGAGGCGAGCATGGGAACATGGAAGAACTCGAGGAACGAGGAAGCGTAGAGGCATGTTTACGATGCAAAACGTCGGATTGTTCGAACGTTAATTAAAGATGCAATACAACTCTCGATCGCGTGTACATACCTAAAGAGGAATACGATAATAATGCGTATCCGTGTGCATGCGTGACTACGGAAGCGAAGAAGAAACGAGAAAGCTGCGTGAGAGAAAGCGAGAAGGCGCAGACGGGATCGAAGCGAGTCAAGCCTAGTCTTTGCGATGTTTAAATTAATCGATCGTGCGACGATGAACGGGATCGGGGCCCCTTGCCGTAACGCGACAACCTTTCTTCTTCTCGATTGTTTCTGGCTGCAGCGGGACAATAAGGATGTATCAGTATCCTTAAATAATACCCTTATATCCGTAAGGATCCCCGATCAGCGATCATCGTCGCGACGGGAGCAAGATAGGTGAGGTGAAGCGACGAGGCTAGAAGTAAGTTTAACGATTAAGCTAA